TCATGAAGCTTAACACATGGAAGGGCAGGACTAAGCTTTACATCACTTTTTAACTCAACAGCTCATTCATTCAAGTAAGATTTACCAAGACATTTTGCAACTCTGCCGCATGCAGTCATCAGGGGCGTGTAACGAATATCTGATCTGCAGGCTGAAAGATTTAATTGGATGTAGATTGCCTTATGACCGTGGCCAGAAAGCAAACAGGGACTGAGCACCAAATGAGCTTGTAACAGAACGTGTCGAGGTCTCTGACTCAGTTTTTGCCTTACATAAAGGAGAAATGCTTAAGAATTGTGAAACCTTGGGAATTACACAAGCAGGCTGTTTAATAATTTTGATGGAACTTATAGGTCTTTTCTGTACTGCTTGTAGTTCTTCTTATTATATTTTGAATACTTCAAAACCAGAAATAAGAACTGCAGGCAAATTTGACCTTGATATGGCTTTAGAATAATGGAAAATTATTCAGGTTGGAATAGGCTAAACCAGGCTATTTTACAGCGCCGTTTTAATTCATACAAAACATAAGAAAAAAAAAGCAGAAAAAAAATAGTTCATCTAATTTTCTCATTTCTTACTGAAAAATTGTGAAAGAGTTTAAATGAGTTTAATTTTCAGCAATCCTATGGAAGCATTTCTGCCTCCACTTGAAAGAATCTCCTATTTTGAGAAACCAAATGCATTTATTTACGTTACCACAGAGCATTTCAGAAAGTTACAACACAGAGATACAACACATCTGTTTTCCAGCCTGCAGTTTACTGAAAGTGTCACATAGATACAGTATAATATTCATTCCTAATTATATAAGAATCTAATAATGAAACTTGACACGTGGATTAACTGAAAGAACTTCTTTTTTCCACACTTAGAAGTTCTAAACGTATCATCAAGAGGTAAAATCAGAAACTTCAACATGCCCCACTATTGTTCAAAGCAGCTGAGTGCAAATGGGGTGAAAGAGACAGTGATGTGAATTTTTGTACGTGGGCATATGCAGCCATTCATTTTATAAAAAATATCAGAATAAAACCAAGTGAAAATGCGTTTGTAAATGTAGCATAAGTACTTGATACAGGGAAATGAAAGTGATCTGGAGAGTTATGGAAATTAACATATTTTAACCCAGAAAATTGCTGAGCATTATTTCTGGCAATGCTGACCCAACCCTACTCAGTTCCTTAATACAGTCACCTTGGCCATGGACATAACAGCCACTGGAATTAAATTTAATTCTTAATTACAGCTGTGTAGTTATTAGTGAGCTTAATTTGTGTATTTGTTTTATTAGTTAATTAGTTGTGTGAAACTAAGAATAGTTTCAGGCACCTACAATTCAAGAAACTTGTAGATGTGGTACTTAGGGACACGGTTATTGGGCAACATTGGTGGTAGTGGATGGTTAGAAAAGATGATCTTGGAGCCCTTTTTCAACCTCAATGATTCTGTGATTCTACGACTCTACGAACTAGCAGTACCTGTATTGTGCAATACCAAGCACTGCCTCTCCACTGATTTTATTGACCAGCAGGGAATACAATCTGAATTGCCGTAACGGGGGGAAAAAGGGCCGTATTTGTGTTCCTGTATTGCCAGTGTTACTAATTTCCACTTAATCTGCACACTGAGCATCTTTAGGGTTGCAGTAATTCTTGTTTTCAATTCAGTAATTGTATTTCTCTGCTTCTTAATAGACACATATAGACAAAGCATCTCAATTTGATTTGAGTATTTTGACATCTCCTCTGACATCTTTACACCTTAAACACATCAATAGCAAACCACTATCCTTATTTATTATCTCCGGCAAAAGCATTGGCTACAGTCTGGACATGAGTGTAGTAACGTCTTTCTTCATGAAAGGGTCTCTGCCTCAAAGGTCGAAAATGACTGAAAAAAACAATTAGTGTAACTGCAAGGTTTACTCCTCCTTATTTATACAATTACTTACACTGATCTTTCATTAAAAAATAAGGAAATTTATATATGTATGAACACATTAAAGATCACTTAGTTTTGCTGAAAACAGATGTCACAATAATTAGTGCCACTCTGCTCACCAATTTTAGCTGGGTTAATTGCATGTATTACAACACAGTCTTGCACTGTTTTAATTTGTGAGTTTAGGCTTCCTCAAATACGAAAAAGACATGAAAGGGAGAAAACAAAAGTCAGATGTTTTGCTGATAGACTCTGCTCAGCTCAAAGAGGCGCTTTGGGGGGTTGGTGATACTCCAGCTGCTGGCCCCTGCATGGTTTACAGACTAAAGCCTAAATAATGTGAAGTTGTCATACCACTGCTCTGTATTTATGCAGTCTGGACATTCTCAAGCAAAGTTTTCAGCTAGGAAGACCTTGGTGCTAAACACAGAAATGAAACAAAAGGATAAGGGCCAGTGGCAAAAAGCCACAGGTCCGCATGGCTTAGTGGGCCTCAGGCTTGGCTGGCCCCAGTTTTGGGTCACAGCACATATGACTTGGACAGGGAGAGCAAATGACAGGAGGGGCTGGGAATAAATGTGTTTGGGGGAGGAAACTGAAGGAAGAAAACCTTTTTCGTAGTGGAGTAGAAAGGTCATATGGTGGAAATCCAACATGAACCTTGTGAAAGTCTAACTGCTCTACCTCCAATGACTGCATGATCCTTCCTTAAGCAACTGAGGCTTCAGCCAAGAGAAGAGTCTAAGTTTAGGCTTTGTTTAATGCTATCTTGAAGTGCTTTGCTGAATCGGGGCTTATAGCATCAAGCTTGGAGCACAAGGTTTATCCCACCTGATTTTAGGCATTTGCAAAGCAGGTATCTGCATCAGAGCTGGTGCCCACTTGTTATCAGCAGGGAAACACAAGCATTGCCAGGGCATGTTCTTTAGGTCCACTCTACACTGGGACAAGAAATACCATGCAGTAGAAGTGCTAGGAAGCAGAGCTGAAAACAGTTAGATCCAATGTAAACATCTACAGCCTCCGTATCTACCTCCACATACCCAAACCACAACAACCTCTGATGACAGATAAGTAGGAAAAAAATGCACTAGTTGTAATGTATCAGGCCAATGCTGACTGAACTTTTACAGTCAGACGGGCAAATGAAACTGAAAATTCTTTTCTTTGTGAAAAAGTTCCTGTTTTAATTGTTTTTAAGACAAACAATGGAAGGAAAGAATAGACCATTATGATTTCCATGTTTAAAGCATTGTTTCTTTCATATTTTCCTCATCTGAAATTGCCTTTTCTTCCTCCACTGGCTACTGAGGGTTCAAGACATTTTTTTGCTGCAATATTCAACTCAGAACTGGTATTTGCTTTGAATGCTGTAGAGAGCTGCTCTTCTTGTGCAAGGAGATGGGAAGCAAACTTCTGAGAATTACTGCAAATTTGAGAATGCCTGGAATCCCTGTGGAAAATAACTGCAAGACCCTTAGTCCTTGTTATCTCTGAATGTGCATATTTTTGTTTGGTTGATTAGCAATGGGACAGGATGATAGATGAGCTGGATACTAAAGCATCACACTGCTTCTCTGCCTCTGGGAAAATGCTGGTTCCAGGACAAACATTACCAAACTGAGAAGCTGCCTGGTCCTCAGTGTAAAGCCACGGTGGAGTCAGGGAATATGCAGCAGCTGCAAACACATCAGCAGCAACTGCAGTTTTTGACAGCACAATGCAGTGGCAAATACTCTTCACTTATACATGACAAGTTGGTGCTTAATGTGGTCTGATACCTAGGGAACAAGTCAGGGACGCAGAGGAGTATGGTGGGACTGTGGCATTGGTTGATGCCACCTATTCGAGCACTGATCTGGGGCAATATGTTGAGATTAAAATGGCTTGACATTTCCTTTTATGAATAGTGGTGAAAGATAGACAGCTCCAGAAAACAATTCATCCAATCCCAATAAAAAGATATCAAATACGTGGTTTGAATCACTGTCTGAATACAGCAACCTTTCTAGCAGCAAGAAAATCACCCAGATTCTTAGCTGAGTTGGACACTCCAGTCCTTACACGCTGCTAATATAAATGATCAGCTTCTTAGCACTGCAAAGGTGTTTTTCTCTGCACTTCTGCAAAGCCCACAGAAATGTGGACCATGCTGAGGTGGCTGCTTCTGTGTCCTGTCACAGGGAGGCTGATAGCAGAGCTCTGGACTCAGTGAAATCTCAGAAGAATTCACGTATAGGACCACAGCACAGTTGTCTCTGTTGGTGTTTAAAGCTTTCCAGTTCTAACACACATTAGAGTTTCCACTACAGGCAGCAGCCTTGGAGTTGCATTAGAGTTGAACCTGGTAAAGGGTTTGTTTTACTTGGGGACAGATTCTGTCTGGGTGTTTTGTGGGACTCAAAGAAGAGGAAATGATTCATTGGCAAAGTGGGGAACAGACGCCTTGACTCACAGTTTCCTGATCTAACCACTAGACAGTTCCTCTAGCAATTTCTTAGCATATCAAAAAGATGGATTCGCTTCTTCTTAAATCCTTAAACCTCAGCAAATGGTCATCCTGAATTATATGTCCAGACTTCCCATGCTGCCCTTTAAGGGAAAATCTCTAGGTCATATTCTATGTGTTTGTATAATGAGTTCCAAAACAAGAACATTTGCTTAACAATCCCATTGATGATAATGGAATCCAAATGCTACGTTTGCTGCACTCACATGTTCAGGGGCTGGACTTTGGGAGCTGATATATCTTGTTTAGGGCACAAAATTCCAAACATTAGAAGCATTTTGCTAATTTTCTTGTGCCTAATTCTGTAAGATACTGGATGTGTACTAAGAAACACAAAAAGATTAGATCTGCATGGAAGCAAATCATATGTTCAATCAAATAGTTGTAGAGTTTCACCTCCCTTCCACTAAACAGAATATCTCTATATATCTCTAGCCACTATAAATTGTTTCTACTTTATATAATGACAATTCACATAGTGCCTTATGATACACGGATGCATAAAAATAAAACAGAACAGTAATTACATTTAAAATGACAGTCATACCTGAGAGTCTTGAAATAAACTCCACTGCTACCAAGTTGTCTCAGAAATGCCATTTCTTTTATAAATAATTTGCCCCGAAGAGAAAATACACTATTTCCAAAACCAGCCTACAACAACAGCCTGCTGGTTGACAAACCAGTAGATTTACTCCGCAGGACCTTTCCAGGGGCTTTCAGATTTGTATCCTGGGAAATATTTCCCCACGGCTGCACTGCGGGCTGATGTAAGCGTTAGGATTGTGCCATCTGCTGTTGGAATCGCAAATTTCCCCGTGTCCGCACTACGTGCAAACACTAGCTCTGACAATTTGGCTGTGCAGTGGCTGCAATTTGTTCTCGTGTCAGAGACAGATGAAGGGTGATGCTTCCTGCCATTCTCATCAGAGGCTTGAACCTTCCCAGGACCATTTAGGACCACTTTGAAGGCTTCCACTTCGTGAGAGGTATTTAAGGACCTCCTTTTGTCTCTCTTGTTAAGAAGCAATCTTATCAAATGCAGATGGACAAAGGTTGCTCAGAGATGTGGTGGATGTGTCACCCCTGGAGACAATCAAGGTCAGGCTGAATGGGGCTCTGAGCACTGATAGAGCTGTAGGTGTCCCTGTTCATTGCAGAGGAATTCATATCATCATAGAATCATAAAATCATAGAATGGCCTGGGTTGAAAAAACCACAATGATCATCTGGTTCCATCCCCCTGCTCTGTTCAGGGTCACCAACCAGCAGACCAGGCTGCCCAGAGCCACATCCAGCCTGGCCTTGAATGCCTCCAGGGATGGGGCATCCACAGCCTCCTTAGGCAACCTGTTCCAATGTGTCACCACTCTCTTGGTGAAAAACTTCCTCCTAATATCTAACTTAAATCTTCCCTGTCTCAGTTTAAAACCATTCCCCCTTGTCCTATCACTGTCCACATTTTACTAGATGACCTTTAAAGGTCCCTTCCAACTCAAATGATTCTGTGATTCTATGAAATAACATGCAGGGCCTTATTCTGCAATATAAAATTTTCACACCACAAAATTGCAACTCCTTTTTGCTGTCCAGTTCCATGCATAGAGAACGTGCAGATAAGGACAGATAAGGACCCGGCAGCCCGAGGCAGCATGACCCTTTGTGCATACTTTTCACAGAGCCCCTTGTGTGGAATGCATCATGTGCCTAATCCCATTGGCCCACACAATATGGCCAGCTGGTGGCTTCCCATAGCACAGGTTACCTCTTCAGTGCGAAGACCTCTGTGCTAGCACCACAAAAACTGGGTTACCAGTGCAGTATCTGTGGGCAGCATTTTGTCCTGCTACACAGATCCTAAATCTGCATTTGGAACAAGATTTATCATGGCGACGGATCATGCGGCAGGGATATGAACTGAATGTTCTCTACTTGGGACTGGCAGTTTTTGTCAGGGCTCAGAACGCAGCACACACCAGGATTTGACCATCAGGACAGGCTGAACTCTCAATAGCTAAATAAATAAATGAATGAATAAATAAAAAAGCACTAGCAAAGTTTAAAATGCCATCAATTTTCTGAAAAATAAAATAAAGAATAAAATAGGAAATAGTTTTTGGGATAAACACCGTGCTCGGATGAATGTAACATGAGTTGGAGCTTAGGTGGTGCCACCACCACCACATCCAAGCACCCTCCCCTAAGTGCTAACTTGGCAGTGGTGCTTTGATCAGCAGTGTGATAAATAAGCCTAAAAATGAGATGCTGGTGATTGAAATATAGTACTGGTTGCTGCTCTTGGAGCTTGTTGCAGACTCACGTCATTTGTAGATCAGTGTCTTAAAGGGGCTGCATGTGTGTGAGAATGAGAGGATCGAGAACAAGAAATGAACTCCCAGCACTAACACTGTACTTCAGTTCCCATTCTTTACAAGCTGCTGAGACTATGGTGCTACAAAAGATTAGCGGGAACAATAGAAGTATTTACTGCTGAAACTACATTAGACTCAACCACAAATCTCTCCTATCTGACAACATGAACGCAACTTCATCTGCCACTTCATTGGGAAAATGGAAAAGCACAGCGCATTTGCGCCACCGGCTTCCTCACAAGTGTAGCTTCTCAGTCTTAACATTCTGACAGTAGGGACGTCTCCCCAGCAGGCAGAGCAGAAGTGGTGCAGCTAGTTTGGGGAGTCAGGTGGTTGGCATACGGGTGAGCTCTTTATGAAGCCAAAATCACACTTTGAGAGACACAACTAACCTGAAACTTTTTAATTCTACCCTTGGTTCCTGCTGTAATTACATGAGAGTGCCTCACACCACCAACGTATTTAGCTACTGACAGTGTTAGGAGAATAAATGTCTTGTATCTTACTTGGACACAGAATAGTCTTAATAGCTCACATGAGGGTTTGGTTACTGAGAGCTGCAGACAGTAACACTGAGACTCACAGGGAGAGCAAAGCCTGGTGCTGCCCAGAAAACTTGTCTTTGTAGCCCGTGGGCCTATGGGCACCATCCCCATAAGTCTTTGGCCTAACGCGCCTCAGTCAGTGCTTTGCCCCAGCTCCTATAGCCTTCCCACTGGAGCAGTCCCTGCCATCCCACCAAGCACAGAGAGCATCACTTCGCAGGAAACAGTAACCCCACACATAAAACCCATGGGTGTATGAGGGGGAAAAATTGCTGCGAAGAAGGAGTTATACCCACTGTTTTCTTCATGATGGTATATGGCTTCCAGCTTGGTCATGGGCTCCAGCTCCCTCTTCAACCCTGCCTGGGGTTTTGCCTCACAGACCATCTGAGCTACACCACCTGTCAGCACAGAGAGTACGTGGGTTCTTTATGAAACCAGAGCTTTAGAGTAGAAAAGCCATGAATGTTTGTGTGATGATGCTGGGAACCCAGAGTGCTGCTTGCTGCCCACACTGGTGACAGTGCAACTTCAGGTAGTTTGCTCTGGGATTTTTGCAGGCAAACTCATGATTTCTCTGCCTTTAATGTTGAAAATACTGAACACAAGCCAGGTCTGGGCAACCAGCTGCAGGTAGAACAAATAGGCATGTCCCTACAAAGCACCATGTAGACAGTCCCTGAAAGCCACTTTTATTCTTAGAAGGTATGCCAATAATGCAAGAAATCAAATACATCTATAATAATTCTTTTCACCCAATCCTTCATTACTGCTAACAGTCAGTACAGAAGCAATTTTTAATCTAGTGCCTGTACCTGCTATGCAGACACAATGAAAGAGACAACCTGAAATGTATGCAACAAGCACAACTCCCTTCAGCGTCCTCAGAAAGATTTACCTTTTCAGTGCTCCAGATCCTCTGTTAATTGTGAAAACAGAAACAAGTTCTTGACGATGTTAAGTTAAAACTGACTGTACAAAGCACTGCAGAAACACTAATTCTCCTGTGCAGAGGCGGGCACTGAGCACAGGGCGCTTACCTCCTGCTGGTCTGTGTATGTCATTTACTTCAGTAACCCAGCAAACATGTACGAACTGAAAGTAGCAGTGTGCCGGTCTCAGCATCTTAACACCAAAATGTGAGCAACGCTCTTTGTGTTGCTCATACATTTTTGACTCTAAAGCCTTCCTGAGGGCAATGGCTTCTTCTGTTCAGGTGCCAGTCACAGCTCTCCAAGTGCTGCACTTCATAGCAGTAAATTATCCCTCATTTAGTCTCGTTCGCTGTGTCACATGACAGTTTGGAATAAAGCAAGGACTGATATTTATCTTGGTTTTAGGAAACTTCCCTGTAGTCACCATTGTCTTGAAGAAAGGTATACGTGCTGCTTATCTCAGATTAAGGGATTTAGGAAATTCCTGAAGAGAGAATTTGAACTGCCCATCAAAGAAACAGAAAATTACCAGCTGGTTTCTCAGACAGCTGGATCAGAGACAGCCTGAAGAGCTGTAAGACCAAAAATGCATGTAAAGAATGTAATAACAGCCCTGTCTTCTGCTGCTAGACAAATCCATTTTTTAAATTGTATAAAATATTTACAAAGGGATGTGGTAGATTGCAGTCAGCTTATTTTGTTCTTGTTTCTGTAAAAGGGAGGGGGATAAATTCTACTGCCCAGTTCCCAGATCTCCTCTGCAGATGGGATGTAGAGAAAAGCCACCAGTGGTGCTGCACACTCCTGCAGGTTTTCAGCCATGTAAAATGAGGGGGCACGAGTGACCTGTGGTGTGCAGCAGCTTCTTTATGCACTGCTTCACAGGGATGCAAACTTCTCACCTTCAGGAGAGTTAACCATGCATATTTCTATGTCTGCTTCTGCTTTGCTCTCGAGGCCCTTGATTTTATCTTTAAACCAGCGGTGATTACAGTTCTCAAGATGATCATGTTCTGCTAAACATGTTTCTTTGTCCCATACTGTTGCTGACAAATCTGCTAGCGAAACAATTCTATTATGCACTAAGTTCAGTTTTGCCTCCAACTTTTTCACTGTACCCTTTGAACTAACATTGTTTGCATTAATGCCTGCTATGATTTTGTCCACCACACATGTCATTGCTGTATCCTATGAAAAGCAGTTGCAGCCATTCTTACTGCTGGCTTCCTTTTCCCTTTTGAAGCAGCTTTCTTTGACTGGTCTTAATTAACGCCTAAGCTGGGAAAATGCCTTTTTTCCGCCTGGTGTTTCTATTTCTTTGTTTCAATTTCACTTGTATGGCTGAATAGATGTTTTCAGTATGCTTCTTAAGAAAATGAAAGGGAAATTGAAGTTTGTGCGATTTTTTTTTAAATTATTTTTGTAAAAGAACCCAGGTTGTGGTTCTACTTTGACTGCATTACTGTTGCATGTTTGAGTCAATTTCTTCTCCCTATTCTGAAAAGCCAAGTAATGTTATTCAAGTTCTTTTCCAGCTCAAAGACTTTAACAATCAGCAAAGGTGGATCACTCACCAACTGACAGCAGCATCTAGAGGAAACCAAGTGAGTGTTAAACATATTTACTAGGGGAATCAGCTAGGAATGGTATTCCGAAGACCTATCATTAATGAAAACAAGATGAAACAAGAGACTGAAGGCCTATTAGATCACTACTAAAAATCTAAAAAGCTGCAAACCTCGGAGCAGACACAGATGTCATAGGAAATACCTTTGCTAGATACCAACTTGCCAAGGAACTAATCATCCTATTTAATAGG